GGTGTCTGGTGTCTCACCTGAGAGAAGAGCCAGAGTCAGCTGGGTGGGACAAGGTTGAGGCGAGATCAAACCACAGTCAGGACACCGAGGTGCTTCCGGTCTCGGGGAAGAGTTGGACAAAGAAGAAAAGGTGGCCAGCGCCACAGCTCACTAGGCTAATCCTCCGCCTTACGGTGCCGGCACACTGGGTTCTAGTCCCGGTCGGGGCGCCGGATTCTGTCCCGGTTGCCCCTCTTCCAGGCCAGCTCTCTGCTGTGGCCAGGGAGTGCAGTGGAGGATGGCCCGAGTCCTTGGGCCCTGCACCCCATGGGAGACCAGGAGAAGCACCTGGCTCCTGCCTTCGGATCAGCACGGTGTGCCGGCCGCAGCGCGCTGGCCCGGTAGCCATTGGAGGGTGACCCAACGGCAAAGGAAGACCTTTCTCTCTGTCTCTCTCTCACTGTCCACTCTGCCTGTCACAATCCTAATCAGGATAGATACACTTTGAGGAAGAAGAAAGGTGATAGAGATGTATAAGTACCAGATGGGATATGCAGGAGTCGTAACAATCTTCTTCAGAGGCGAATGATCACGTTGACTCCAACCAGCTTAAAATGAAGGACATCACAGTTGTTCAAAGAATCAAAGGGAAGCCTAAGCAGCCAGGGCAGCTCCAGGGTCACCACAAGGAGGTCCTCCTGGATCTTGGCTAAGGGACAGTGAGCACCTTGAGCTTGGACTGTCTGATCTTATATGTCAGTGTGGCCATCTTCAACTTCCTAGGATAAAGGATCTACCTGATTGGCCCAGATTGGGCCACGTGTTTTGAATCTTGGACCAATCAGACCTGGGCAGGAAATAGGAGGGTGGGTGGATATGGCCAATGAGAAATCTACGTGAGTCCTACGCTAGCCTCCTTTTCACTGTGCTTGATTGTTTAAGAGTGCAACTAGGAAGGGGGGTGCCTTTAACCAGGGCCAAGCACAGCAAGGAGGTAACAAGTCAGAGGAGGCTTCCTAGTGTCTCTGCTGAATCTTGTTGGTCTAGGAGCAACCTGGCATTTATTGCAAAGGCCTGTGGGTTTCTTTGATATCCAGGTGCCATCCCTATGAATGGGTCTCACCCAACCGGTTGTGTGCTTCGGGACTTCAGTGTACCCTCTGATGTCTCTGACACACTCAGGGCCGTGATGTAGGTGGGCTGGGGATGGCTAGAGAGGGGAGGAAGGCACCTGTGCAGGATGGGGTAATGGAGAAACTCTGAGGATGTCTCTGGGGGATGGTAAAGAGAAATGTGCTACTTGCCTGAGTCTAATTTGGGTTTATCCAAGTGAATAATTTCTGCAGGAAGCCAGGAGGAGCCATAAGCCCCCTGAGACCAAGGCCACTCCGAATTCAAGCTACAGTTCCCACAGCTTCAAACTTGGAACCAAGCTCAGCCCTGGAGCCTGTGAGATCCTTTGCTGATTCACTTCCACCTCCAGGCCCAGAGCAGAATTCCCAGGGGTCAAGGGCATTGCTCTGCTGTGTCTTTGCAGACGCAGGAAAGGAACAGATGAATCTGCTCCCTCTCCACTTGCTCACCTGGCAAATGGTTTCATACCCCAGGCCTGAAGAGGGGGAGGAGTCTGACCCTGGATACGCATCTCTGCCCAATCCATCCTCTGGCTTCTTTGTCATCGTCCTGGGTTCTCTGGGCCAGGTGAGTGGGCAATCGCTCTCAGCATCTGAGACCCCTAGACTCACAATCAAATTTAGAAGGTGTCTCCCATAGCTTTTGGTCTATCCTCTACATTTCACAGAGAAGAAAGGAAGGCACCAGAGAGGGGATGAGACTTGCCCCAGCAACTAAATTAGCCAGTTGGTGTCAGAACTGGTACTGAGACCCAAGAGCTCTTGAAGAGCAGTGAGCCATTGCTTATGTTGCTTCTCTCACCTCTACTTTCTGTGGGAGGACCGAGTGTCCTGGGACCCCAGAGCCAGCTTCCCCTGTGCTCTCACTCTCTCTAAAGGGCAGAGCTGGTTTCGAGCCATCTCCAGGGAGAAGGAACAACCCTTGTTCATCCTTCTCTTCCATTTTCTCTTGGATAGAGAGCTCCTGGATCTCAGAGTTAGACCCAGGCTCAGCTGAGGAGAAGGACTCATGTGACTCCAAGGAAGTGCTCCTTAGAGCTTTATCACCAGTAATAGTTCTGGTCTGAGGCCCTCACAGGCATTGGTGACAAGTGTCCTGTTAGCAGAAGGTCCATCATCATGTCTGAAATGCAGAAGAGAGAAGTGGGCGGGCGGGGCTGGCCCCTTAGGTCAGCAAGGGGACTTGTTCTTTGGACAGTGGACAGGGTGGTAACAGCAGTGGTCCAAGCCCTTGGAGTTCCTGATGTGACCTATTCACAGTCAACCCTTTGGCCAGCCTCAGGGAGCCGACGGGCCCCTCCGATGCAAGAGGATGAGAACCCATCAAGCTTTCCCTTCTCTTTTAGGGAGAGCTTCTTCTTCTTGAATTGCCAAGCTCACAATTCCAAGGACAATGACTTTCTCTCTTTAGAGAACAGAACAATATTTTTTCTTTTTTTTTCCAGTAGGGGACAAAGGAGAGTGATCAAAGGAAATACATGCAACTTCACATAGGAATCATTTAGAGATCTTTAAAAAGGACTAGAAATTCTTATTTAATTAGCCTGGTGTGCTCCCTTGGTACTGGGGTTTCTAAAACATCCAGGTATTTCTAGCGCAGGTTGAAAACTGGTCTTAAGTAAGACTACGCCAGAATGTAATTTTCATGAGAGCAGGGATTTGGTCTCTTTTTGTTCACTGCTGTGTTCCCAGCATCAACAAGAGGGCCTGGCACATACGAGATCTTGCTCAAACAGTATTCGTTGTGTGTTCTGATCATTTCACCAACCTTCCTGATAAAGCAATGCTTGATGGGCATGGACAGGTGTCTCTGCCTTGGACAGGGTGGGATGCAGTGGGTTGTGTCTGGGCTCTGACCAACAAGCAGTTAAAGCGATCTAAGTAGGACGGAACAAATCTTTTTGTGCATGGTAAGGGCTCCTGGGTCTCAGCGCCTGTGAAGGAGGTTGGGTTGAGAGCGTGATGACAACTTTGTGTTTGATTAACATGGCTCCAGAAGAATCAGGAACAGAATTTCATGGAGGCTAAGATTACCCACAGGCTGGGAAAAGGGTCAGCTCTGTAGGCTTTTTGAGAAGTAGGCAGAAGATCTCCTTTAACCGATTAGGGATTTTGTGAGGCATTGGAGAGAACCAAACTCTGAGCGGCACGGGGAGGGCCCCTTGTGCAGGGTGCAGCTGCACTGCAGAGTCCCAGGGCTCTTCTTGCATCCAAGGTGCCGCCTCCATGGAGATGTGAGGAGCTGGAGCCACCCTCCTTCTTCTTCCATCTCCCAAGCTGTGTTGTGTGGGAGCCATGTAGTAGGTTCCCGGGGAAAGATTCAGCAGAGACCACATAGAGGAGACAGGGCATTGAGTGAGAGGAAGAGCTGACACTGAGAACATGAGTAGGATGAAGACCAGGGCTCAGGAGTCCAGGGGACAGGAGGGTGTGTCAAGGGGACACTCTCTGAGGGCAAACATTGGGGCAATGTCACAAAGGATCGAAGGCACGAGCCTGGAGAGAGAAGGTTTGAATGTGTATTTGAAGTAGGTGGGAAGGAAGACTTATTATCTGCCTGGGTCCTGCTCTGTGGTAGACGTGTCTTTGTTATCTCATGCAATCCTCACAACTCCCCTGTCAAGTGGAAAGCGTCAGCTCTAATTTACGGCTGAGTACTTGGAGGCTTAGAAAGACTGAATGACTTAGCTGTGGTCACCAAGCCCATAAGTACAGAGTTGGATTACACCTAAATTTGCCTGCCCCCAAAGCATGCATTCAGAGAGGAGAAACGTAAGTGGCGCATGCTCAACCCCAAATCTCAGTGTTTACCGAGGCCAAGTCTGTGCTGCTAACAAGCAATGCAGGTGATGGTGTCTGCCTTCCAAGTGCCCAGTCTCTACAGGGAAAAGCCTGACTTCGGGGAGGATCTGAGGGAAACACATTGCAGGCCCTGCTCCACATGTGAAGGGCTTGCCTTCTGAGTTCCCTTAAAATGGACACTACCCCCAGTGAGTGGGGGAAACCCTTCCAATGCCAAGCAGTTGGGTAGTCCCCAGGGTTTTAGGACCCCACTTCCCTTCTTTGTCTCTGGCTGTGTGAAGCAATTGCAGGTGAGTACTAGAGTGGAAGGAGCCCAGGCCCAGGAGACATCAGAATTCTAGGCTTGCCTCTGCCACCCCCTCTCTTGCACTGTTTTCTCCTTCTTTGGGTTAACAGAGTCCCTTTTTGCTGTGGGCAAACTCATTCTATTTTTCTTTTTTTAACTAGCAATGTAGAGAAATAGAGAGGAGAAAGATAGAGGGAGACAGATAGAGATCTTTCATCTGCTGGTTCATTCCCTAAATGTCCACAAGAGTTAGGGCTGAGCTGGGCCAAAGCCAGGAGCCCAGAGCTCCATCTGGGTCTGCCATGTGGGCGCCAGGGGCCCAAGTACTTGAGTCATCACTCACTGCCTCCCAGGCACACATCAGCAGGAAGCTGGATCAGAAGTGGAGGAGCTGGGACATAAAGCAGGTGCTCTGATATGGGATATGGGTATCCCACACTGTGGTTCAACTGCTGTACCACAGCGCGTGCCCCTCTGTGTGGTTTTGATGGAGTTGCCCCATGGTCTTTGTGAGGCCCCTATAATCCAGAGCTGCTGGTTACTGTCTGTCTGGTCAAGTGCTGAGATGAAGAGAGTCAGAGTTCCGTCAGTGTTTCAGCACTTGGATCCTGCTGTGATTCTGAACACTGCGGATCCAACAGACAACAGATTGTTTGCAAAGAAGATCCCTGGTAGCTTCCTTCTCTCATCTCTGTGTGCACGCTCATTTGCAATGTGACTTTGTCTCCTGCTATAGACAAACAGAGTCTAGTTTCCCTCCCCTGGAATTTGGACTGACTGCAACTCGATTTGATCAACAGAATGTGGCAGAACCGACACTTGTGGCCTCCAGCCTTTCATCTCAGGAGTCTGCAGCTTCGGCTCTCATCCTCTTGGACCACTGAGACCTCCACGCGGTGAAGAGGCCTGATCTAGTCCCATTGAGAATAGAAGAATATGGGGAGAGGGAGGCCAGCCAACCCACAGATGAATGAAGCCACAGTGAGCTCTGGAAAGACCAGAAGAACCATCCAGTGAACCTATAGAATAATGAGAGACAATAAATTGTTACTGTTTTTAAGTCACTAGTTTTGGGGTAGTTTTTGAAATAAAAAAGATTTTATTTTATTGACTTGAAAGGCAGATTATGGGGGCAGGAGGGGCAGAAAGAGAGAGAGAGAGTGTGTGTGTGAGAGGGTTTTTCTAACCATTGGATCACTCCTCAAATGGCTGCAATGGTCAGGGCTGGGCCAGTATGAAGCCAGGGGCCAGGAACTCCATCCAGGTCTCTCACATGGCTGGCAGGGGTGCAAGCACTTGGTCCATCTCCCACTACTTTCCCAGGTGCATTAGCAGAGAGCTGGAGCAGAAGTGGAGCACCTGGAACTCGAACTGGTGCTCATATGGGACACTAGTGTTACAGGTGGTGGCCTAGGTAATTCATTCATGAAGATAATGTCATTGAGTTATTCCGTAACCTCGTGCATCAGTCATAGTTCTTGATTTCAAGGAAAGAGAAAGTCTGATGGTCATTTATCTAAAGGACATTATATCTTCAGAAAGGCTGACATACCGCAATCAGAGCTGCAGTCAGAAATGTTGCTAGTCGGTCACCAACAGTGTCCCTCCATGGCTGTGCCAGAAGTTCAGTGGTGTTCAGTTGGGATGCCAGAGCTGCGGGCTGCCCACCCACGTTTCTTGGCATGACTAGCTCCTGATTCAAAACTACCACAGTAAGTGCTTCTGCCTGGACAACCTTGGGTCCTGTGTCCTCATCCTGGCTACACAAGGGAATTTGGGAAAGCAAACACCTGTCATTTCAAGCTCATAGCATTATCACATGCCATGCAGGCCTGTGCAATGGCTTGGATGTGTCCCTCAATTCACAGGACAGCAGTGCTGAGAGATGGGACCATTGAGAGGTGACTTGGTCATGAAGGCTCTTCCCTCCTGAATGGGTTAATATTGTGATTGCAGGAGTGGGTTTGTCACCACGTGCTGCTTTCCACCATGTTAGGATACTGCAAGAAGGCCCTAACGGACGTGGCCCCTGGATTTGGACTTCCCAGCCTCCAGAACCATGAACTCCAAAGCATCTCTGGTTCATGGATTAGTCAGTCTGTAGTATTATGTTACTGCAGCAGAAAATAGATTAAGGCAAGGAGGATGTGAGCCAAAAAGAGAACGATGAGCGTCCTCTACGGCCCCTCCTCTTCCAGACTGAAGTTAATGTACACTCTTCTTCCCATATTCAAATTATGCAAAGAAAAAGGCCCTTCCTGGTAGAATTCTCTTATCTCTTGCCTAACAAAGAACAGCTTATCTCCTCCACAAATTCTCCTCAGCTACAGCATCCAGCTTCAAGTTTAGAATCTGTGGTTGATATCTATCTCTCCTCTAACCCTGTTAGGAATTTACATTGGTATTCTGTAATTTGTAGAATAAATTGTGGACCAAAACATGATGAACATACCCTATATGAAAAAGTATGAGAGGGGGCTGGCACTGTGGCATAGCAGGTAAAGCTGCCGCCTGTAGTGCTGGCATCTCCTATGGGTGCCAGTTCGAGTCCCAGCTGCTCAACTTCTGATCCAGCTCTCTGCTGTGGCCTGGGAAGGCAGTAGAAGATGGCCCAAATCTTTGGACCCCTGCACCCATGTGGGAGACCCAGAAGAAGCTCCTGGCTCTTGGCTACAGATTGGTGAAGCTCCAGCCGTTGCAGCCAACTGGGGAGTGAACCAGTGGATGGAAGATCTCTCTCTCTCTCTCTGCCTCTCCTCTCTCTGTGTAACTCTGACTTTCAAACAAATAAATATATCTTTTTTTAAAAACAGTGTGAGAAAGGGGAGTAACATCTGTTCATATATATATATATATATATATATAAAATCTATGTAGAGTTTTTAAATAACATGCATTTTTCATGAATTTTTTGAAGATCTTATGCCTGTATGCAATTCAGCATTTTTGGCAGCAAAATAAATTTGTCTTTTAATTCCATTTTTCACTGTTTTTGAAGTATTCTTGTATCACATGGAAGGTAGTACAAAGGGACTCCTGCCCATGTTTTCACTAGTTGAACTATAGATATTGTGACTCTGCAGTTGGTACTTAAGATTTCCTTCTCCATTAACTTGTCCATGTTTCCTTTGTTTGCAACCAGTGCTCAGTCAGTCCAGGTTGTTATAACTGATGGGTGGCATAAACATTCTGTTTTGAGGGATTTGATATCTTAGTTGTTTTATCTGTGTGGAGTTGCAATGGTTTCTCATCGATTTATTACTAGTGGAAATGAAAGTATTATAAATTACGCTAGGGGACCCCTTGTGTTTAATCCATACTCTTTTGTGATCCCAATGTATTGTAGCAGTCTTATTTCCCCTTCATGATGCAGAGTAATTACTCCAGCTGTTGATCTATTACCTATCTATTATTTATTTACCTACCTATCCATCTACCTACCTATATCCATTTTTGTCTGTTTATTCAAGTGGGAAGAGGCGCCACAAATACTTAGTTTATTCAATGAAATAACCTTTATGTTTCCTATTAGAAGCATTCTTCTCTGGATGCTAAAATGTCTAAATCCATGATGCCCAGAGTATAAATATTGGACACACAAACTTGACTAACACATCATTTAGTGTAATAATGAGAAGTGCCATTACCACTCTGCTTTTTGGTTTCTGTACACATGATTTCTGGCTCTGTAAGACAGTATTCCTGATGGCCCAAAGAATATGCAATTCTGCAAGACAGTATCTCAGCCATAGAAATAAGTCAAATGAGGAGAAGCAACACATTAAAATTAAGGCACGAGGCTGACGCTGTGGCACAGTGGGTAAAGCCACTGGCATCCCATATGGGCACCGGCTTGAGTCCTGACTGTTCCACTTCTGATCCAGCTCTCTGCTATGGCCTAGGAAAGCAGTAGAAGATGGCTCAGGTCCTTGGACCCCTGCACCCATGTGGGAGACCTGGAAGAAGCTCCTGGCTCCTGGCTTCGGATTGGCACAGCTCTGACCCATTGCGGCCATCTGGGGAGTGAACCAGTGGATGGAAGACCTCTCTCTCTCACTCTCTCTCTCTTTCTCTCTCTGACTCCGCCTCTCTGTAACTCTGCCTTCAAATAAATAAATCAAAAACAAAAAAGAATTAAGGCACCCTGGGAATATATGCTCATGAAAGTTACTTGTATGATTAAGACTTTGTTGAGCATTGTCCTGCTTGTATTACATCCATAGAAAATGGTGCATTGTTGAGCCTGGCCAATTTTATAGGTGAGTGGATCAGACAATATCCCATTCAGGATGGATAGCTCAAATGGTATGATTATCTGGTCATTCATTCACTCTCAGCCAGGGCCAAGTAGCAAGCTAAGAGCTATTTCTTAAAAAGGACAGCAATAACTTGCTGAAGAGTACCTATTTTTTTTTTCAAAACTTCAAAGGCCTAGTATATGATTCTCCAACTTTGCTTCAGACTGCATATTGCTCCCCAATCTGCCAAAATGCACTTTAAATAGCACTGAGTCTAGAGATCACAAGGGCCAAGTTAAGACACACTTACACTACAGCCTGAACCAGTTAGAGAAACTTCTCTTATGCTGAACTTGGCTCAAAAGTGGCAGGCTTCCTGGTCTCTTGGAAAATGGACTGGAGCAGTAACCAAAATGGGGTCTATATTTCCCCTAAAATCCAACAAAAGATCCTTGAAATGTTATACCATGTTCCTTCGTTGTAAGAGACGTAAGGTGAAAGGTGTAAGGAGTACTTTGTTTTAGAGAGAAATACATTCTCCACCACTGGACCCCACTTACTGATTGGGCCTGAGGTCCAACTGGGCTACCATGAGGCAGACTTGAGTAAAACTCCATTTATTGTCAGGCTTCTATGAGTACCCGCTTTGGAACCACATTCATGTGTTGGGTATTTATATCTTGCAATAATCTTAGAACCAGTGTCTAACAATCTTCAGAAGGGCTCTGGGTATTTCTTTTTCCCTTGTATACAGATACTCTGGTAAATGGGTGTAAGGGTCTTTGGGAACTTCTGGGAGAAAGACTCAGGGTAGAGTTGCTGTGTAACTGAAGGAGTTTTACACAAGGGTACCAACTTCCCCTTTCTCCACGGAGAACTGAGCCTGTGAATGCACTCAGGAATGGTGATTGAGTGAGGAGCCGTCACTCAATGGTATCAGTAGGACATTTTAAACTTCAATAACAGGAAATCTTGACTCAACTGGCTTTTAAAAAAAGAACATGTTGATCGAGTAATAAAAGACGTGAAGGCTGGGAAGTATAAGTGCTGATTAATTCAACAGTTAAAAAATCTCACTGAGGACCTGGGCTCTTTGCACGACTTTACTCTGTCCTTCTCAGTGTCTTGGTTTACTTCCTTCTCTAGCTCCAAGTTGGCTACCACCTTGGCTTTAGGAACCACATGTGGTCAGGTTATGTCCAACGGAAGAGTCGTTCCTTCCTCACAGTCTGTTTTGCGGAGGAATGAATCCTCTCCCAGAAGTCTCAGTTGGAAGGAGTGTTGGCGAATGGTTGTTGTGTAAGTGTACAAGATCTTCTGGAGGCTGCAACTCTCAATCATGATGACACAAGTCAGGCCTTTATTTGTCAGGCCTGTCAAAGCAAGGACCATATTGATGTGTGCATCTTTTTCTTTTGGGCCCCACAAGCTGCCATACCAAAGTTCCCTACGGATCAGGCCATTCTGATTATCAGGCTGGCCAGCTGCCCGATACGGTAGCCAAGCTCGGCACGCCTCTGGCAATTAGTGTTCTTCCCAGGCCTGTGCTATCTTGTGATATTCCCAGTCCAATTGATATTGTGCATCTCATTTCCAACTAAAGCTTCTTTCCACAGTTTTCTTGGCTGACAGAGAACAGCCACTCTGGCTTTTCTTAAAGATGTTGGCACTCCCTTCTCTAATGTATTTACCATTGCCTTGATAGTGTGTTTTGGGTCATCTTGGGAGGCCCAGTTAGGAATTGAGTAAATGCTCCAACAGTTCCATCTCCCCAGGTCTTTGAATTTGCTTCCTTTAAATTATTCTTTTAATATTTGGCATCTCAGCTGTTTTAGTAGGGAGTACTAATGAATCCAGGTTTCTATCAACCCACCCTACAAACAATTCAAATGACCCCTAGATGCTCAAACTAGTGCATCAAATGACAAATGCCTGTATTAACAACTCAGCTTGATCTAAAATTGTGTTTTCCCCTGGTGACCTAGCACTCTCAGAATCTTCTTTACTTCCCAGAACTCTGCTAATATCAATAATCGAAGTTATGTCCTTTTGTCTATAACTTTTTCTTTAAATATTAGATAAAGACTTCAGATATGGATTTCACCCCCCACCCCCAGCCTATCCTGTCTCTAGTTGTAGGTGTGGAGATAATGAGGGTTAGAGAGGCTACAGCACAAAACTAGTTGTCTTCCCTTTGCCAGATAATACCCTTAGCCCTTAGATTAGATCATTCCAGGGTGTTCATGCAAGGTGGGGACAGATGCATGAAACAGGAGGCAAGGGCTGATTTGAATGACAAGAAAGACAGGAGTTAATGAAGTTTAGAAATTTGATGCCCTCCAAGTCATCTGAATCTACCCATAAATCTCTATTCCAATTCTTTTTTTTTTGGACAGGCAGAGTGGACAGTGAGAGAGAGAGACAGAGAGAAAGGTCTTCCTTTTGCCATTGGTTCACCCTCCAATGGCCTCTGTGGCCGGCGCGCTGTGGCCGGCACACCGCGCTGATCCGAAGGCAGGAGCCAGGTGTTTCTCCTGGTCTCCCATCCGGGTACAGGGCCCAAGCGCCTGGGCCATCCTCCACTGCACTCCCCGGCCATAGCAGAGAGCTGGCCTGGAAGAGGGGCAACTGGGACAGAATCCGGCGCCCTGACCGGGACTAGAACCCGGGATGCCGGCGCCGCAGGCGGAGGATTAGCCTAGTGAGCCGTGGCGCCGGCTATTCCAATTCTTAGGTCTCCCTTTTTCCTAATCAATGCCCTAATTTTGACCTAAGCAACAGTGTAAGAGTGCAAATTAAACTAATCTTATAGTTCAAAAACCTGCAGAATCAAACTTCATGTTTGGTTTTTGTCTATCTCAGGACTGTGGCCGTAAGACAAGAGATTCTTCTGGTGCAGTCACAGAAAGCCATTGGTTTTCATTTTGTGCTTTGAGTTGAGAACTTGATAGTTTTTGTTTTTCATTCTTAAAAACCCATCTAGTACTATGAAGAGCAAGCATTTTTTTCCCTAGAGACCTTGGATCTCTCCAGCTTTTGATGTTGGTCTATGGTGGTAACTGCTTCATACCCTAAACCTTGACTTCAGTAGGTATTTCATTCCAGATTTGTCATGTGATTTTGGCACATATCTTACTTCTAGCTGGATTTTCACTGCATTCTGCCTTAAAGGTGCCAAATAAATCCTGCTATATTCCTGCCAATTTCTGGAGGGTAGGTTTCTGCCCAGTTCTGGGTACTAATTTTGTCACCAGCCAAGCTTTCTATTTGCAAGCAAGAGAAAGAGACTGTGGATAAGTCAGGGACAAAAATAAAAGCTTCATTAAAAGGATTTTGGATAATTCACTGAATCAAGATTTTTATTGCCAAGAACAGCATCATCAACCTTAGAGGTAAAATCTTCCTCTATCCTCTTTCCACGGAGTTAATATCTCCGAGTCCTGACATGGGATAGGAGTGTCTGGTGGGCAATAGGTTAGGGTAAGTGCCTCTGCCCTGGCAATCCAAGAGGCATTCTTTGATATGCTCAGCTTTTATAGTGGAGGAAGGGCTTCTAAGGTGGAGAATTGCCCCCAACAAAGGAGGGAGTTGAGTTGCTGAGTAGCCAATATAAATGCAGATATCCATTAACCCTTGGGCAAGCCACTGCCTACTCTGTGTCTCAGACTCCTTGTGTGTACAGGGAAGAGTTTGGACTTGATGGTCAAGTTGCCTGTAGTCCTGTCATTCGTGGGCAATTCCAGCTCACATGGTTTCAACAAGAGATGATGAGCTCCTGGACTGCTCCCAGGCCCAGGGCAGGAGTGAGTGGGGGACAGAGGCTGACAGCCTGGAGGGGTGAAGCCACTCTTTGCAGCTCCCAGCAGCTGTTGTGCTAGGCCCTTGTGCAGCTGTTTTTTAAACATTTTTTTTTCAGCAGGTTTCACACTGATGCAGAAAATAGAAGCAGTGTCAGGCCAGCACTGTGAGTGATCCAGAGAACAAAGTCATTTTTCAAGACACTGCCCTGTTTGAACATTGGGTGTTGAGGTGACAGATTTTGTAGACACTTCATGGGAAAAAAAATCCACCACCTTGAGTGATTTTGAAACCTTTAGAAATATTTGGCAAGTGTGAACAGTTGGTCCCCACACTTTCTCTTTAATCAATTGCTTCTTGAAGAAGTGGCTGTGCAGAAGGGAGAGAGCTGTGTACTTCTTTCCCCTCCTCTGGCTTCCTTTCCAGTGTGCTGGGTTTTCAATATGAAGAGGCAAGACGCTCTCCACAATCCCCGAAATGGTGCCTGCATATTAAAAATACACCAGCTTTATTTGCTGTTTGCCTGCGGATTTGTTTCATTTCATACCTCACTGAAGCCTCGGCTCTGTTCAGAACAGGCTGTACCCAGTTGTAAGGAGACAGAGGGGAGGGGAGAGTCTTGGGAGAGCATCACTTATTTTCTTAGCAAACTTGGAGAGATGTTGAAATTGAAGCTTGAACTTTGAATGAGCACAAGCCTGAGGTCTTCCAGAGGAAATTTAATTCTCTGGCTTGCCCAGAGCTCTGATCCTGGCCTTCACTCAAGGGTGAGCTCCACAAGTCATCTCTCCAAAGGTGGGCACTGAGATTGGGGGTGTGACCCACCACCTTTGAACCCGTGTGCAGCCAGGATCCAGATATAAACCCCTTGGTACCTAAATGGATGAAGCAAACATTTGCAAAATTGAAGAGGAGATGGGGCCGGCGCTGTGGCGCAGCGGGTTAACGCCCTGGCCTGAAGCACCGGCATCCCATATGGCCGCCGGTTCTAGTCCTGGCTGCTCCTCTTCCGGTCCGGATCTCTGCTATGGCTTGGGAAAGCAGTAGAAGATGGGCCAAGTCCTCTGACCCCTGCACCCACACGGGAGACGTGGAAGAAGCTCCTGGCTCCTGGCTTTGGATCGGTGCAGCTCCAGCTATTACGGCCATCTTGGGAGTGAACCATCGGATGGAAGACTCTCTCTCTGCCT